ATAATAATGATTGTAAAGTGGGAAATATCAACATCTAATGATATTTTAAACAACTTGAGTCTAAGTAAGTTACAATTTCTTGTTTTCCAATTTACCAATAGATTAGGTTCCATTTAGTTTTAGGGAGCTTTTTCTATAAAAGTTACATTCCAGAGTAATTAAAACTAACAAGGAGGAATGCATTGTGGACAATGGTGAAATACGGTGTGCGGTATATTCAGGTTTGAATATCAATGTAAATTGTATAATTTGAACACGATTAATTTGCAAACCTAAAACTAGACTTAATCAAATTGCTGTCATGATTGAAACATATATGACATTACTGGTGAATTGGAAAGTTCGTAGAGAAGGTTAACTGGTTTCTACTGGTAGCATTCTCTTGGATTTCCTGCTCCAAAAAAGATGTATAACAAATATTTATGTTTTGAGAATTTTTTATGTTTAAAATGTAGAAAAAATTTAGAGTTTTATTTCTCCTTAGTAAAACATAGGAAATAGCCTACTTAAATTGTATCGTTTAGACCAAAAATACAAACAGAACATTTTCAAAATATCGTTTTACAAACGTATCGTTTTGCGAGAAGCTTCGGATATGAATAATGTAATAAGCAGCCTCTAATGGGCTTCGTTGGATTGTAACGGCTAATGGCTGTCGTAAAGGACGGCTATGAACGCTTTATAAAGGCGTTTTAAAAGTGAAGATTACAAGTAAAAATGATCAGGGAGGTGTTAAACCAAATGTCACTGTCGGTGCCAGTGTTGATTATTATATCAACACCATTGAATATAAATATACTGTACAGTACGATTTCTTTGTTTGTGTTCCAATATGAATTTATAGGATTCCATGTTTAATTATAGAAAAATATATGATAAGAAATAAAAATTTTTCGCTTAGTTTGAATATTTTCTAGCAAGGAAATTACGGAAATAAAGGCGAGGTATTTGTAAATAAAAAGACTGTGTGGATAACCTGCAACATTTGAAGCTAAACCATCCTACAAAAATATGATTTAGCAATTGAAACACTTATTTTTTAAATGATTGTGGCCTTTTAAATTGAAATCAGTGATTAAAACTAAATATACTATTAGCGATAATTTAACGTCATAAATCTAATGTTTATAATAGTATATTTCGTACCTAGGGCCAAAAATTGCGTTTTGCCGGTTCGAGAAAATTGTTTAAGTTCGAGACGAGAGCTTCTTTTTTTGAAAAGATCGAGATCTGCCTACCCTTCCGGCCCGTGGTACGAACGCTATCTTTCCCTACACTATACAAAATTGAGAAAATATATACAATATGCACATGCACTCTAACAGTCAATACAACTGCAACTTTCAGGTTATGTGAAGTATTTAGATGAATCAGTAAAAATAGTAAATAGTTGCTAAGCAGCGGTGACAATAAAACATGTATTTTACATTGCAATGCATGGATATAGCTTGTTTATTAAATATAGAAAATTAATGTTTTAAATAACCAAGCAAACAGCTAATTTTCGGCCCTAGGGCCGCAAAAACCTGCTCGGTCCCTAAAAGACGATATCAAGTGGCATGGACAGCAATACGTAGCTTTCAGCCTCCAATTATCATTTGTAAAACAGCTAAAACATCGTAGTGTGGTAAAAATATATTTTCAACTGGTCCGTATGGTATATATTGGGTAACTTGTTCCTTAGATCAAGTTCTTTCCGCTTTATGTAATGTTTGTATTACAAAATACCACCATAATCTTAGTAATTATTAAATGTTCATATATTTTTTACTAGAACATTATATGTTGTTTTTTTTACATTAGTAGTACATAATAATTTTATAACACCAGATGATGTATCTGTTAAGTTTATCACCAAGTACAGTAATGTGAATATATTTAGCAGATCATACGCAGCAGCAGACGATTGATTGTCCCCCAGGGAGAGAAGAACACCACTGTGGCTGAAAGATCATCTCGGAAACATTTTTTCATTAAGACCTTTAATTATTGTTATAATATAATTTCTAGAAATTTAGGTTTTAGTATTAACTTTTTTGCAAAAACCAGGCGAACATTTTTATTTTTTTACTTTAAGAACGATATGGTTAGTAGGTGAGTTACGATAAAGAATTTGAAAAAGCTGAAAATTTTAAATAAAAATTTAAGTTGCCCTACTTGTTTTTGTAGTTTAATTTCACCAATAAAAAGCTTAGACGGCTTTCAAATATAATACTTAACAAAATACATTACAGTTGTTTTATTTCTTTATAGAACTAGATAGATAGAAACTTTACCGGTAAACTGGTAATCTGGTAAACGGGTAACCCGGTATACCGATAAACCAGTAAACCGGCAACCCGGTAATTTGGTAGCCCGGTAACCCGGTGAACCGGTAAACCAGTAAAATGGTATAACTGATAATCCGGTAATTTGGTAAAACGGCTTACCTTTACCGGTAAACCGGTAAACTGGTAATATTCCTGAAGATGGCTTTACTACTAAAAACGTAATATTCAAGCAAGTAGTTTTGTGATTAAATTGTTTGTTTTAGTGTTTATTTTTAAAAAGGGGTTTGTTCAGATTAGGTTAGGTTAGGTTAGGAAGATTTTGTTGTTTAAACTAATTGTTTGGAAGTCGATTTGTTGGTGTGGTCGGTATGACACCGAAGTATAAATTTACTCAATATAAGATACATACAGCTAGAATATGGCTGGACTGCTTTTTTCTAAGGCTGTATGGAAAAAGTTGTACTGTATTCTATTTTCGACATAGAGTCAATATATAACACGACCAATTTGTTTTCTAAATTCATGTCTTATTTTGCGGCGCGTTGAGCCGCACGGGTTCACTAGTTAAAAAGAATGAAAATTAAAAAATATTATTAAGTATCAAAATAAAATAAAATATCTATCTAAAACGTCAAACTTACTTTAATATTGGATACAGGATACAATGATGTGGAAAAGTTAATCCACCCTGACATAAATATAATTATCACAAGAAACCTCAACGGCTTCACCTCAGTTTTATTATAACGTAACATTTCGCTACTTCCACCACACCCCTCTATTTTCACCACCTTGTACCTCTCACATACCTTTTGTTTTATCCATTCTTCTTTTTGTTATTATTCTTTCCAACTAAGTTATCTTTTACTGTACATTTTTTACTCATTATCTCCCATTATTCTTAAATATTTTAGTAACAATTTTAAGCTAATTTTAGTTTTGTAATTTAACATTTAACATAATGTTACTCGATATTATGGAAGAAGAAACTTTCGTGTGGTACTAACTTAACTTACTAACGTTACATTACCTAAACCATTTCTTAGTCCTTTCACATTATGTCCTTCTCAGTTCAGTTTATGAAATCCTTACACTATTATGGTTTCATCACACCTTTTTATGCTAACAGATTTTTTACTTATTTTATTAAAACGTAATAACTCAATCGAATTCAAAATATTTGTTACTACATTACAGATTCCTGATATTAAAAATCAATTAACTGAATTAACACTGCAATTCCCCAGAAGATCACTTATCAACTGATGGAGACGTCGAGTTTTCTTCTTCAGTTGATGGTCCCGCGAGGCGCTGTCACGTTTGCATTGATAAGCCGGGAGTATTTAAATTTAAATCAACTTCAACAAACTTAAATTGCGTTTAAATACAATAAACTTGTTTAATGAAGCTTGATGTTGAAAAATATAATAACAATTATTTTTTTTAGATATGGAAACAGATAATTATGAATAACAGCCTCTGACCAGGAAAAATTGCGTTAAGTGGTTGGGTTTATATATAACTATCATTTCATCCCATTTATTTAAACTTGTACATACGTATAGCACGTTCATTCGGTGAATAATAAATTAATCTCCCAGTTTTCTTATTCAGAACGTGAATTCGTTTTGAACCACACCATATTATTTCCTGGAAAACTCTTGAGTTTAAAGGAGGTATAGTTAAAACACATTTCCCACTGTTGTTTCACAGTTCATATTCATGACTGCCTCAAGGCTTAAAATCTTCATGGATATTTTAGTGTTTGGATAATACATGCTGAGCTATCCGGGTAAAATTTCCGATTGGATTTAAATATTCTTCATTATTACGGTCTATTAGTAATGAAAATTGTAGTAATGAACATTAAAAACAAACTGTCCATAGCTATTTAAAGTAAAGAAATACTACTTATCAAGATATTCAAATTAAATAGAAAATGTATTAAAATCAAACTATTTCTAGAATCACGAGGCAGTTCAAAACGCAGACATTGTGTTACCAACCAGGGTTGTAAGCTAAATTAATCTCATCTGTTAATCGGATTGTTTCAGTTAATTTAAGCTATCGAACGCCAGCGTAATGGCTTTACGCTCTTGTAAAGATGATTTAATTTTTTCGTTGCAAACGAGCTCCCAGATAATCCCCGAAGATTGCAACTATTTGCATTCTATAGTCCATAAAGTGTTAAGTGCAGTGACAGTCGGCCTACAGTAGTTGGATTAGAAAATGTTGAAAGTTAATGGGCATTTAAACTCTCAGGAGAACTTAACTAAAATCTAACACTTTTAAGTCAGTACAGTATTTTACTGCACTTGTTTTATTGACAGTAAAACTACTTATCCGTAAAGGATGAATTTAAGGTAGTGGGTATCAAACATTTTGGTTACAAACAACTTTCTTTGATAGTTTAAAGATCTTAAAATAGAATGAAGAATTATGTGCCATCTCTTAAAATCAGACAGCAAAAGAACATTTCTGACTTATAATTTCGTTCAAATTACACAAATCTACGCAAGTGGTTAACCTTTTAGCTGTTGTCAAGATTCATCAAACACTGAGACAGTTCTCATTGAATACGAGACTATAATGGTTAAACGAGGCAACAACGGTTTCTAGACCTAAACGCACAGCATCATAATACTTACTAGACACATTTAATGTGTTTAGTATGTATGCAATTTTTACATAAGTATGTAAGTTTTTTATACAAATGAAACGCAGTGTTACCTTTTTCACAAAAGATTCCCTCGTAGTCTAGGTTTCGACACTCGCAGATCGGCCCACTGTCTGTGGAGATGCAGATGCCACCATGTTGACAAGGGTCATGCTCTTCACATGCGTCCGTTGTGTTTCCTCGGATACCCTGCAACATGATAAATCTCTCAATAATCTCCAGTACCATGAGACTGATCAGCCCACTGTTTGTGGAGATGCAGATGCCGCCATGTTGACAAGGGTCATGCTCTTCACATGCGTCCGTTGTGTTTCCTCGGATACCCTGCAACATGATAAATCTCTCAATAATCTCCAGTACCATGAGACTGATCAGCCCACTGTTTGTGGAGATGCAGATGCCGCCATGTTGACAAGGGTCATGCTCTTCACATGCGTCCGTTGTGTTTCCTCGGATACCCTGCAACATGATAAATCTCTCAATAATCTCCAGTACCATGAGACTGATCAGCCCACTGTTTGTGGAGATGCAGATGCCGCTATGTTGACAAGGGTCATGCTCTTCACATGCGTCCGTTGTGTTTCCTCGGATACCCTGCAACATGATAAATCTCTCAATAATCTCCAGTACCATGAGACTGATCAGCCCACTGTTTGTGGAGATGCAGATGCTGCGATGTTGACAAGGGTCATGCTCTTCACATGCGTCCGTTGTGTTTCCTCGGATACCCTGCAACATGATAAATCTCTCAATAAACTCCAGTACCATGAGACTGATCAGCCCACTGTTTGTGGAGATGCAGATGCCGCCATGTTGACAAGGGTCATGCTCTTCACATGCGTCCGTTGTGTTTCCTCGGATACCCTGCAACATGATAAATCTCTCAATAATCTCCAGTACCATGAGACTGGTCAGCCCACTGTTTGTGGAGATGCAGATGCCGCTATGTTGACAAGGGTCATGCTCTTCACATGCGTCCGTTGTGTTTCCTCGGATACCCTGCAACATGATAAATCTCTCAATAATCTCCAGTACCATGAGACTGATCAGCCCACTGTTTGTGGAGATGCAGATGCCGCCATGTTGACAAGGGTCATGCTCTTCACATGCGTCCGTTGTGTTTCCTCGGATACCCTGCAACATGATAAATCTCTCAATAAACTCCAGTACCATGAGACTGATCAGCCCACTGTTTGTGGAGATGCAGATGCCGCCATGTTGACAAGGGTCATGCTTTTCACATGCGTCCGTTTTGTTACCTCGGATACCCTGCAACATGATAAATCTATCAATAATCTCCAGTACCATGAGACAGATCGGAACACTGTCGGTGCAGATGCCTCCATGTTGATAAGGTTAATGCTAATCTAGTAGGTAGGTCTTCTGTATTTCGTCGGACATCATAAAAAAATTAATATAAGGTATAGCAATACATTTTTTCTTCGTTTGACCAACGAAGGTGTCATTTTGTAATATCTTAATAACTAACGGATACAGAATAAAAATGTAATTCAATAATTAACTTCTCCACTTAAACTGGTTGTATTGGTAAAAAGTATCTTGTTAAATTGTATTTATAAGATGGCCAAAAATAAAAATAAAGGCTATTCCCAACGTCAACAGCTCCTTCGAATAATATAGGTTTGCATACTTATTTAAAATCTCATGAAATTCAAATTCTGATTATCTTAAACCCAGCTATCGTGCTTGCAGACAAACACGAACACAATGAATTCGATATACAGTGTGTAAATTAAGTCTTGAAACAAATCTGTATTTTTTAAACCGTAATAGATAGAAATATTCTGTTTGTGGCGAAGATTCATGCTCAGGGGTTTAAATAGCAACCCCGATTGAGTGACCCCCTCATTTTGAAGGGCTTGTCAAAAGAAACACAATGACGCAAACCCGAGGTGGACATATTACCCCTAGCCAAAATGATAGGTATTTCAAAATGGGCGATTTTTCACATAAATCTAATTTTTGAATACCCGTCATTTAGGCTAGGGATGAAAAACCTATTTTGGGTTTGCGTCATTGTGTTTCTTTTGACAAAACCTTCAAAATGATGGGTCACTCAATAGGGGTTGTCATAAAAAATAATAAATCACCCCCACCCCCTACCCTGTTATAGGGGTTAAAAAATATTGTTGATGTTAAAAATTGTGGAGCCTATGTTAACAATCTATTCCACAAACATAATATTTCTATCTATTCGGTTTTAAAAATACAGATTTCTTTCCATATTTGAAATTGGTGCTTTTTCACATACGTTAAATCAAATTTTGGAATACCTGCCATTTTGGCTAGGGGTGAGATATTTTCCTCGGGTTTGCGTCATTGTGTTTCTTTGACAAATCCTTCAAAATGAGGGGTCACTCAATAGGGGTTGCTATTTGAAAAAAATAAGTCAGCTCCTGCCCCCTATCCTGTTAAAGGGGGTAAATTTTTTTTTATATACAAAATTGCGGAACCTTTTTAACAATCTTCGCCACAAACAGAATATTTCTATCTATTTCGGTTTAAAAAATACAATTTGTTCCAAGACTTAATTTACACACTGTATAAATTTGATCATAAATTTGAAGTAGGCCTAATGGTTTGGGCTCATGACAAGAAAAAGTACAACGCTAAACTCAAATAATTTGACACTTGACCTCCAAGAACATTTTATACAGGCGTGGAGGTGTTTTATTTAAATATTTGCATGGAAGTCAACAAAAGGTTCCTGAAGTTTAGGAGCGATTGAGGTATTTATTATTCAAGTTATAGTCACCTTGGAACTCCGAGAATCTAGGCCAGACCGGAGATCTTTGTATTCAAGACTCGTTCTATTGCTTCAGAGGCGAAAATATTCTTCCTTTAAATCCTCACTACTTTTATTGTTCCATTAATTTCACGCCTACTAACAAAAGCCTATTATTAAAACATTGACTTTTCATTAGATTACTCAACACTCTGATTCCTTTGATTCTGAGAGTTAAACCTTTGCTAAATCGTTTTAAAACTGTCAGATGGGGCATGCGGTTAATTAAATTTTATGGTAATTTTAAAGCGTATTATACTGTAACGGCTAATATCTTACAACGTTTAGGAACGCGAATATTCTAGGATAATTAAACTATTTGAGGAAATAAACGTGTTATAAATGAGAGTAAAAGGAAGGTTACGAGTAACGGGGGCTTGGTCATATAACATATGTTAAAAAAATTAGTTCATAAGAGTTTTTACCTAAAAGTTAAAGCTAATCAGTAACGATCATTTCAGTTTTGATGTTCCCAAACTGTATTGTAAGTTTGTTAGGAATGATCAATTAGCAGAGAAAATTTTGCTCTTCACAAAATCACCAGCTACTGTTACGAGTGGTTAGACACTAGTCTAAGATTGTAATTATATTGTTCGATGAACAAACAAATTGAACGTTTAGTAAGTTCAGAATACAACTCACTGTAAATATTATCACTATATGTTTGAACACATTTTATATTATTCATCTGTAACAATAGCGAGATACAAAGTGTTTTCAATAAAATTCTTGGCTTTTGAAATTCTACCACATATGTGTCAGTAGCATCACATGTATTTCTCAATCGATATTTGCATTTACAAATTGCATTTGAATAATCTCGTGTTGAGGGCAGATATATGCATTCTAGAAACGTATTATTTTGTAGTGTGTGAATTCTAAACGGATCTGTAATAGAAAACTTAATGAAAAATAAAGTAAACTTTTAGACTGAAGTAAAGTGATCATTTTAGACACTTTATACAATAACTAGATAAAAATTCAAATGCACCCATTCCTATGCTATTTATTTATTTTGCTATTTATTTAGTATTATGCTTTTCCTATTCTTACACATTAAATGTTATCGTTGACAACGTGAATTGAATAGCAGCAAAATAATTATTATTACTGTAACGCAAAGTAGACAAAAGATAATTTTTCATGAAAAAAAAAAATAAAATGTTGAAAAAATGTTAAATTTGGTTTCTTTAAGTATAAAAATTTGGCAGTTAGAAATAACAAACAGTGTAAATAAATAGTGGTTAACAGCAATGTTAAGTAAATGAGTACTGACATATTATCCTTATTTTTTCCAAGGTTAAAGATAAATACGTTTATCTGTAAGTTTGTCACGTTTTTTACTGATAATTAAAAATAAAACACAGGCTGAGTCAAAGTAAAACCAAGCTAATTCTAACAATTAGAAATATTTGCATGAATCTTAATGGATTAATACATTATTTTAAGTGTTTGGATACGTATCAAACTGTTGTATTAGCATCATAGAAGGACGGGGTTGAAAGCTTGGACAGGCGTTAGAGCCGGCTCCGGATAAGCAACATATCCTGACCCCAACCTCCGCGTAGTCAAAGGCATTAGCAAGTTGAGCGTGAAAATAACACCTTTGGCTACTTAAAACTCCTTTGCCTAAAAACAGATATAATGAAACAGTAATACAGTGTTTACATACACACGTTTGCGCGTATTTCGTACACAATTTTAATATAAATCATATTTTTAGAAGAAGAAATTCGTGTGCTACTGAGTTAAGATAATGCATGACATATCAAACAGTCTTAGTGAGGATCTAACTCAAAAGTATAAGAAGCATTTTCTCATAGAGTACATATAATACACATTCATTTGATTTATATCTTAGATTTTCGAAAAATACAAATCCTAATGGTTTATTTAGTTTATCCATGAACAAGAGCCAGTTAGTAACCTTATAGACTGGAAGCATTTTATTCCCCTTTTAATGGGTGCTCATCTGTTCTTGGTTATATTTGTTTGAGTGGGACTTAAGCTTTATAAAAATAGTACCAAAGAATCACTGTGCAATCAGTTTTGGCCAACTTCAAAACCCATAATCACTTTTGTATGACTAAACGTTCAATTTTACAGTAAAATCAAGATTCATAAAATAAATCCCTATTACATTACTGAAAGAAATATGTTAAAGTTTAAACACCCGAAATAAGAAACAGATTGTATTACTGTCAAAGATTGGCGCATGAAGTTTGAACATGATATACTTTCGTCGTCTTTGTTGACAAAGAATGCGATTAATTTGCTTAATCCATTAGGCTACTTATCTTACTGGATTAAATACAAATATTTCCATTAGTTTAATGGTAGCATTATCCAGTTGATGATAACGGTAAGGCTAACAGGTCATGAG